CCCTTACATCTGCCCTCTCTGCCTGAAAAACTTCCCTGAAAATGCCCTCATTATAGAGTCAAATCATATTTTTGCATTTTTCTCAGCAGACTAGACATTGTTTTTGCTATTCTGCCTCCTGCCGTGCAGCTGGTCCTGAATTTTAAGATCCCGTCTGAGTGTAAGTGCAGGGAACTGAAAGGTGAGTGGCACCACAGTACAAAGCCAGGCCCCCACCCCAGTCCAGTGTTTCTCATATCCCCTTCGGCCTCTTTTGCTGGTCACAGCATTAAACATTCACTACTGAATAATAAGATCTTGAGCATGATACTTTGGTAGTGTTTAATAACTATTACTTACAAGGAGTACCAACACATAAAATTAACTGGTGCTAAGCTTTAATGGTTATTGTTTATTTTCATTAAAATGTATACCTCTTTTGTCAGCATTTGTCTATTCAAAGGGCCTAAAATGAAAACTGACATGTAGCAAAAGGCTTAATTAGAAAAGGCTGCATGCAGAAAACCACATCATATCAAAAGGCACAAACAATGCTCTAGTCTACTACCAGGTAGGTGTCTTGGCTCTTGCAATGCAATCAGCAAAACCACTTTTTTTTTTCTGATGGGTGTATTAATCGCATGGTAATCTGTATCAGCCTATACATACATACTTTATATTTTTTAAGAAAAAAAGAAAAATCCAACTGCCAGTTACTTTAAACTTTAGAGCATGCTTTTCTTTGTGCCGTGCATGAGCCAAGTTTCTACACAGGCCAACAACATTTGAGATCTATTCCTTCTTGTGTTTTTCTTGCTTGTTGTTTACCTCTTATGAGTTTGTGGAAAAACTATGATCGGAAGTAGGATCACGCATTCGTAAGAACAGTAACTAACACGGGTACATGGACTGGAAGAAAAGCCTAACCTACCCCAGCAGTGTATCTTGAATAGTGTTCTTAGGGATTTGGACTAGCAGCTTTTTGTTCACTTTTTACAAATTAGTTATTTTAATGAAAAACTACAACAGTTTTGAGTTCATGATTTTTACATCACACAATGTGGTTTAAAAATAACTGACAAGAGACAAAATGTATTTATCTTAGCATCAGCCATCTGGAAGCTAAGTGAACTAAATTAACTGAATTAAAGTATTTCTTTAGGCTCTCTGAAGTCAGGGAACATAAATCACCCTAAGACAGATGACAAATATGTGGTTACATAACCTTTTAAAGAGGCTCCTGCTCTCTAGCCCCAGGTCAGCCACCACTCCTGTCATTTGTGCTGACAGTCATGTAGCATTTCAGCAAACTACACTGACAAATTGTAAAGGTTAAAATTACCTGGCAAAGGAAAAAAAGGTGAGTTTAATCACAGCCGAATTCACTGTGTGATTGCAGAATCCCACAGCACAGCAGGGAGCCATACTGCTTTGGCACAGTTGTAATGCTGTGTTATGCTTGAGTAAAGCTGCAATGCACTTAGAGAAACAGGCTGTGACTGCCTCTCCATTTCTCTCTCTAGTGGTGACTGCTATGAAAACTAGCATAGAGAAATTAGACTAAATGACATTTTTAGGAAACTAAAGTTAGAGAAGTTAGGCATACTACTTGTTTTCCTCATCTAATTAATTAAAGAGTTTTAAAACATTTGATTAAACATTTTAACGTAATTAGAATAATTTAACATTTCTTTAAAAAACAAAGGATTGAAAGCAGTAGAAACAGTCAACTGCCAAAACATCAGTAACTCTTGTTGATGGAATTCAGGCTCCCTCTGGTGACCAGAATGCAACTGGCACCACCATTCATCCCTAAACTTGAAACTACAAACCCTATGGTATTAAAAAACAAAACAAAACAAAAAAACCAACAAATCAACAACAAACAGGATTCACTCATTCACTTGTATCCGTTTCAAACAGCATTTTTAATATAATTGTAAAAATGAAATCTGTTATTTTTCAAATTCACTTACTACTTCAAATATTCCATGGCATAATGAAGTACAAAAAATGACAACTTCTTTAAAATCACTGTACTTACTTAGTTTTTTAGCCACAGCCTTCTAAGAAGGCTTAGACAAAAATGGATTTCAGTACTCCTCATGCTCCTTAGTTAATACTTAAAAATAGTGTTATTTCTAGTAGATAATATATCCTAATCTCTGTTAATGGATTGCTAGGGAATAAATAGGAAATCACAACAGACAGAAGATATTACCTCTGCTTTTCCTGAACTTTTTTCTCTACCAATCTTCTGCTTACGTTAGTGTTACTAGACATGGAACTCGCCATGATGGTTCTTCAGTATATACAGATGTTATCCGTATCAAACTCCCATGTTACTTATGGAACAGTATCTTGCAGGAAGCTAATGTGAACTTAATGCATTTTCTATTGTGTTACTGATAATCCTCTTTCAACATCTTCAAGAATGCAAAATAACAGGTGAAAACAGAATTCACCGTAAGAGTGCGGCAGAAACCACATACAACTTGGAAGGAACACAATAGTAACTCTGTAAGAAACTAAGCTTAGATCTTGCCAGAAACCAAACCAGCTACAGGAGTTTGCTCTTCCACAGACAACAGAATCATTAACATCCTTCAAACAACAATGGAAGTTTTTTCTTTCTGCAAGCTTCAGTTTTAAAACCAGTTCCAGTGAATCACAGAATGCCCTGGGTTGAAAAGGACCACAATAATCACTGAGTTTCAACCCCCTGCTATGTGCAGGGTCGCCAACCACCAGACCAGGCTGCCCAGAGCCACATCCAGCCTTGCCTTCAATGCCTCCAGGGATTGGGCATCCACAACCTCCTTGGGCAACCTGTTCCAGTCTGTCACCAGCCTCTGTGTGAAAACTTCCTCCTTATATCTAACCTAAACCTCTCCTGTCTCTTGTTTAAAACCATTCCCCCTTGTCCTATCACTATCCACCCTCATAAACAGCCGTTCTCCCTCTGTTTATATGATCCCTTCAAGTACTGGAAAGCTGCAATGAGGTCTCTCCAGTGCCTTCTCTTTTTCAAGTAAGGGAAAAGCAGGGACCCAAGTTATATTACAGACAAGCTATGTTTGGAGAGAATACAGCTTTCACAAATGGAAAAATACATTTTCAACAGTTGTCTTATGTCAAACATGTAGCTGTGTACAGATCCTGATTCACAGAAGTCCAGCAAAGAGTTCCCAGTATCTTCTCTTGTAGCTGTCTTCCTAAATTGTATACTCAGGATACTATCCACAGAGCAGGCATACAAGGTATATTTTTGACATACAGCTTATTTTTGAATGTATATGAGAAACTTGTTATGGAAAAACTCAACCGTGTATTTCTGCTAATGTGCTTCTTTGTATTAGAAGGTATGTTTACTGTTTCAAGTACAGTCCAGAAACTACTACATGGTATCTGAGTGGAGGAGTGCACCAAAATGTATCTACACCATACAGATGTAGATATATGATAGATGTAGATAATGATAGATAAAATGTGATCATTTTAATTCAACTTTTTTTTTTCAACTTTAATTTTGTTGACAACCTGAGCATCAAAAGGCACTTTGAAAGCTTCACCATGCAACTTGATAGATGAAGCATCCAACACAACCAAAGTCATGAGAGGTACTATAATTGGTTCCAGAAGTTAATGTAAGCGAAATACTCATTTGTTCTTTTCAATGGATGCAATACCAGCTCCATTTATCCATTCTGGATTGCACAAGAGATTTTGTGACAGCAGCAGTCTTTGCTGTTCTGCAAAATGTCCCATATGGGTTGTTGCATCATTAAGAAAGTAGAGTGACCTCACATTCCTCAAAGCACAAAAGATAATTCCTCAATGCTGCATGACTCTTTAAAATAGTTTTTTCAGGGAATAGGTAGAATTGCTGGCGTTGTTTTAAAGTGCTTTGAAGGACACTGATGAATTAGTAATGTTTGCTGAGAATTTTTAATTACTATCTGTAAACAACATAGTTTGAGTGTAGCCTTGTGGACAGAAAAAAATCTCCACTCTACCTTACTTTGTTTGCTATTTCTTAGCTGACAGTTATATGACTTTTAATTTGTATATTCCTGCAACTTGAAAACTCTATTTTAGATATGTTTTGTGTGTCTGACTAGGACAGTGGCCTTAGTTTCACTGTTAACTGAGAGTTATGCTCCTGAATTGCTCATGCAGGTACATGCAGGTACACGTGTAATACTGTGCACCTGCAACATTTTTCAGTAATTTCATAATTGTTAAATGAAGGCAATAACACTGAACAAGCCACAGACTGGTTCCACAAGCACTCAAAACAACAAAACCCCAAAACAAAAAAAAAAAACAAAAAAAAAAAAAAAAAAAAAAAAAAAAAAAAAAAAACTCAGGCTAAAGCTGTGTGGACATGGATTTGATTCCTTTGGTACATCAGCCATGTTCTGATTTCCCTTTATCCTCCAGAGGTGGAGAGAAAGTCTCAAATTGATTTTATGTATATACTTCTATATAAATATATGTAAATGTGTATACAATTCTGTGTGTGTATGTGCAGTTATACTCAAGCATGTGATGAGGTTTAAGAGTTATACATATTGCACAGAGGAAACACAAAACTTAAAGACTCCCAGACCATAGAAGAGGAACAAATACCACCAACTCTCAGTACTCTGTTCAGCATGAACACTAAAGAGAACTGTGCAACTTTACAAGTCAGATAAAGTGCATATCAGCTGAGAAACAACACACAGTGTTTGAACCAAAACAAGGTAAAGTCTTTTTATCCATCTATAAGCTTGTGCTGTGCTTTTTATATATGCTAAGTAAAAAGATCTCATAGAATGGCACTGTAATTAAAGTCCCTTTCAGGTATGCTGAGAAATCAACTGTGTAACAATAGCAGCTGTTAAAGGTAAATCAGTGTTGACTAAATTAGTACCAGCTTACTCATATTTGTGCTCCACTATGATCTAGGTAAGGCTTACTTCATAAGGTTGCTAGAAAGTCTTTAAAGCACTTAACATTATATTCACAAGTTGTACCTGCTATTTCCGAAAGTACAGCTCTATGATCATTTTCTGCCAGCTGCACAAACCCAACTTCATTTTTGAAGTGATCGATTCCTTGAAAAGACAAATCCACCGTTTTTCCTTTTAGGAGATCTTCTACAAAATCCTTGCTGTCAGAAAGAGCACCAACTGCTCTGTCAAGGGAAAGATAATATGTATGTCATAGTCACATATTTTAATATTGTTTATATATTATTAATCTCTCTATACAAAAATCTCAAAATTTTTAGTATTAATTTACTATTTGCTCAAGTATTTCTGCACTACTTACTATCAGTGCAGTCAGTATTCTCACTATTTTGTAATGGCAAACTGGTTCACACATCCTGCTGTAAAACTAGAAACAGTAAGGCAGACAGCCACAGGTGTAATTCCTGAACAGAGTTCATCTGAATGACTAGATATTAAGATGACAGTGTCTCTATTACTCTGTGCATCACATTTAAGATGCTTATTGAGAAGCATTTTGTTTTCTATTCTTAAAGTAATTTACTTTTGTTCATGCCCTGCTATCTGAGTGGGATGCTCTAAGATTCTGATTCCTTCAAACTTGCCATAGAATGTTACTTAAAAGTATAAACAGATGTTAGTGACATTTAATATGTAATATAATGATAAAATTATATGGAAATTACTATTAAGCTCATTAAAGCTGACAGGAAAATAAGTATCACCAAAACCAATGCTTACTTTAAAAGACAAGTAGCATGCACAAATAATCCACGTGTAATTTAACAGCAGCAACTCTCATAACCTAATCATTTTAATTAGCCCTATTAGGTACTTGTAGGAGAACATGAAATATTTGTTTTGAATCGCTTTTGTTTTGAAATGATTCACAATCAAGAAGAACCCTATATTCTTAATGCCTTCCAAAGATCTCTCATGTGCTTTTTAGTTCTAGAATTGGAAGTTTTCACGAAACCAGTGTTGGCTTTATAAACGCTAGATGGCAGTAACAGGATAAAAACTCTCATGACTTTATTTTACTCTTTTTACAGCAGCTGCATGAAAGGCATCAGCATGATTTCCAACATGTCTGTATTTCTTATGCCTGTACATACATATACAAGCATCTCTACACACATTTCCAGTGTGCTTAATAAGATGGAGTATTGAGAACCATGCAGTTAATTGAAACCAAGGCCAGGTTAAGTAAGTTACTTGATTTCAATCAAGGATTTTTTGTCATGTTATAGGGAGTGCTTGCTTTCTTTATGTTATTTTAAATCTCACATTCTTGGTTTTATACAGTCTTAAATGTGAAGTGTACTTATGGAGGCCAGATTGCAGCCTATCTGCTAGAAAGCTCCTATGCAAATTGCAGGTCTGTATTCCCGTACAAAGAGAAGCTTAAAACACAGATCTCCCATTTCCATGTCATGCTCAATTGAATATTAAGTTTAGAACAGTCTTATCACGTTTGGACTTCAAATAGCATTCAACGCATTTCATTTCTAGATACAGAAATATATATATATATAGACAGAGGCAATACATGATAGTGTAGATATCTGAATAACTTAATGGATCCAAACTTATGAATCTGTGAACTCTCAGCTGCCCAAATCACTAGTTGCAGTTTCAGTTGTTACTGTCACTCAGCATTACACACAGGTTCTTTTGCCAGTCTAGATCTTGATTTCTTTCCATTAACATGGTATCAAAAATTGGTGATGAAAGGAAAATGCAACTTTTCTGTCTTCAAATCCTCACAGATTGTTAAAAAGAAAACATCAGTTACAAGAAAAAATAAGAATCCCACACAATAGAAAATGCAACCTAGAATACCTTGAGGACAGCTGAGCTAGATAGCTGCAGGAAGCACCTGGACAGGAAAGGGGAGAATCACTGGGGAAGCTGCTGACTAGAGGACAGATCCTGTGTTCCTGGACTGTGGAGTTCTGCTGGGAGAGGCAGAAAAGAACTCCATAAGCAAGTGCCAGCTGCCCAGCAAGAGCTGAGAAGAGCTCAAGGTGTGTCTAAGGATACTGAATTTGGCAATATTTGTTTTGATATGCAGTTTAGAACTGTAAAAAATTATTAATGGCAAGGTATATTTGCCTTTGAGATAACCCCTCACAATTTTTTTTTAAAAAGTTCATACTTAAATGCCTTCAATAATAACCTTGTTCTCACTGTTTTCACCAATTCTCAGGTGCCACCACAGTTTCCTCATCAACCAGAGCAGGTGTGTCTCCTCCAGGAGACAAAAGGAACATGGAGGAGGAGTGCAGCAGATCTGGGATACCTTGCTTTCCTTTCTGCTCCTGGTTAGCTACCTCTCTCTTTTCAGAGTGTTGAAGGAGGAAGGCTAGAAACTCATAACTTCAAAAGGAGAGGTAAGAACATAGAGGCCTAAGGATTTAGTATTACAGCACTCAAGAAAACAAGGGTGAAAAACAAGCAGGGCAACTGATTTAGACACACTGGTATCTCATTATTTGTAAGCATTATGTGTTTTCAGCCAAAATACCTTCTGCTACTTGATGTTACTTTCTACCTTGAATTCTTTCTTATGAGCCATCTGTACTTTAAAAGCAAAACCTTTTGAGGATAAAAGTGATTTACCACACACAATTAATAGACACATTGTTTAGTAATTGTATTACCATACCTCAAGCAATATCTCACTGCACTTGTTAGTTACTGATCTAGATAATTCAGTGTATGGACTGCATGGCTTTTAAGACCATTAAGATATACAAATGATGGAAGCCTCCTGGAAGACCTCCTAGTGGGGAGATAGAACAACTGGGGCTTTTTTTTTTTTTTTTTTTTTAAATAGAATTACAAGAATATAGTGAATTTTGATTCATGAGCAATTCACAACATTGATATGTAAACACTGAAGGATTCCCAGATGTTTGCATAATACCAGCAGGCTATTTATCAGCATTTTAATTGATATTAGTTATCAGCCATTTCATTTTTGCAATTATGGTGTGCACATATAGAGACAGCATATATATATAAGCTACTAGACACCACATCTATGTAGGAACTGCCAAGAAAGTCCATGCAAAGCAGGACTGTGAAACTCATTTCAAGTCACAATTGCAGCTAGACACGCAAATTACTATTCTAAACATTTGTAAATTACAGCTGTACTCACTTGAGTCTTATATTAAGAACTTCACACTAACCACTGAACTTGTACCTTGAAGTAGGCTTGCCTGAGTGCTATACAACATGTGATAAAGAGCAAATGCCACCAAACCAAACAATTCCACTTTTATACAGCAAAGTCACCTGTAACACTTACATACATACGTTTCTGTATTATGCACACGCTTTTCTACAACTTTTATGCCTTCTATATGATCAAACATTCAGCTATTTCCCTGAAGCAATATAAGGCAATATAAACACCTCTCTTTCAGTGTAAGTATATTCTGGAGGCATTTAAAGGCATAAAAAACTAATTGCATGAGACAGTACCTTGCAGCTAAGGCTTATTTCATTGTAGTTTTTCATTGACTATTACTAACTTGGCCTATAACATTTCCTGAGCTATGAAAATCTGAAAGCTCCTCTGTTAATCTGTTCAATATCCCCTACAACCAAAACACAATTTTCAAATAACTCCTTTAAAAAACATGAGATTTTTGCATATAAGTTCAGTATATGCTGTGAAAAATGCAAAGAAAACATGTACTTTGGGCAAAGCTCATGACATACCATGGTATGCAAACAGCTAATATTAAGATTAGCAATTTAAAAGCAACATGAATTAAATATTCAGTAACTCCAGTAATTTAGGGCTTACAAAAAGCATCAGTTATTCTTTCTATCTTTTTGCAAACTCCACCAATAAAACTACTTTTCCAAATACCTACATGCTAATTTCTTCTTTGCTGGATAAATGCATCACTAACATTGTGACATGCAACGAACCACAGTGAACCATTGCTTTGGAAAGCCTATCATCCTTCTGTATTATTGCATCTTGGAGAGCCCGAATGTTGTCAGCAATCTGGGAAGACAGAGACATAGAAACAACAGTTAGCCATTACGCTTACTGCATCCAATAATGCAGCTGAACAAGAAAGCACACAAACTCAAGTCAAATGTTTATGTAGAAATCATTCTTGCAGAAGGAACTTTTATCCTGCAACAAAGCTGTGCTAGCTGATCTGAGTAAACTCAAAGCGAATACAAATGCAATGATAACAAAGAAGTAGACACTCCTCGTCACATCAGAACAGAACCTGATTTCCCTAAGATTCCTAGAACAGCTTGAGATCATGCAGATTGTTGTACACTGACAGGGGCACAGATCAGACACTTCTTTAGTGAATTTCTCTACCGTGTGTTGAGTGTGTATGTGCTATGTACAGACAAGCATCTGAAAAGTGGAAGAGGTCTCTGGAGGATCAGGATCAGGCCTATTTTAAACAGAGAATATTCTGATATGTATATGTGTGTGTGTGGAGATACCAGACTTACAATTCTAATCTTCATGTCCAAGAGAAAGTACAATGTACATATTTTCTTCAAACATTTTGGCAGATCTAACACCATCAGTCTTCTTTAAAAGTATCTGATTTGCATTTTTCTCCAGTGAAAAATACATGCTTTATAAATTGTATCCAAACTGTTTACTGTGCTTGCAATTAAGATAGCTGTTGTATTGCAGTAATTTAAAAAAAAACATGCAGGAAGGCTTGAGTCTATGAGTAAATCAAATCCAATAACCTTGACTGACTGGCAAAATGAGCTACTTCTTTAAACCACAGTAAGCAAAGACAAATCAGCTTTGGTGTACATAGTGTAAAAGAAGCATGTAGAAACTGTCAATCTGTTTTTTATTTGAAACTCCCTGGTGAATGCTTAACAAATATACTGTATATATTGACTTTTATAATGAGCAGAAGTAGCTATGAGGCTTAGAATAGCTGTATTTAGTTATAACGAACATACATGTTTCCTGAAAAAGCAAAATGTAATGGGGGCAAGCAGTACTTTTGTGACCCACGTTGTTAAGATAGGTTTTGCCATGCAGTAGTTTAACCTCATACATTTAGTAGCTCCTTTTTTATTTATGTATTTAGAACATAAGACACCATATACATTAAAAAAAAAAAAAAAAAAATTGTAACTGAATGGTATCAACTCTAGGGAAAATGGTAAGGACAAAGGAAAGTAAAAACCATTTGCCAGTATCAACCATTTGTTGATGCTGAATCAACAAAACCAGAAGTGTTTTCAGTAGTGTAGCACACTTGAATAAAATCACGCCAACACTCTCATTATATATCATGTTGAAATAAAACCATTTCCTTCATGTGTCAGAACTTATCCTGGCTATATGACACATTTATTGTAGTTTCAGATGCAGGAGAAATTTAAGCCATACCCCAGTGCTGAAGAAGATCAGCATTATTCAGCATTCATATCAGAAGGCAACACCTCACTCTGCCTCACCCGTATTGTTTTCTGAGCAGTGCATCCCAGTCCTTTCCTGCTTATGTCCTGAATTCTCCCTGCACTACCACCTCTTCCCCCTTTAGCTATCATATCACACTGACAATTTCATGTAGCTTGAGATTTCCCAACTTAAAGAGATGTCTGTCCCAACTGTTCCCCTCCCGAATTATTTTTTAAAATTCCCTCTGACTAAGGACTCAAATACTGATTTCAGTGTAACCTCTCCCATTACTTAGAATACATTACTCTAAAGAGCAATAATGTAACTTAGTTTTGTTTACTGAACATCACTGGGAAGTAGCTTTAAAAATTGAACAGCTTATTGCAATTATAATCAAGACCGAAAGACCCTCGGGGATTAATCTAGCCAGTGCTAACACATCAGGTGAAAGATAACTTTTATCAGGTACAATAATCATCTATTTAACCATTTTTTGCACAGTTAGAAATATGAATTGACTACAAAGCCAAAATGAATGGAACACCGCATTTTACTTCATTAAAATGAAAGCAACTGAGAGGAACAGTTCATTAAGTGTTTCAGAAACATCCCTTGCTACAAAATGGTTCTTTGTGTAAAGCTCAAAATACTATATAAAATATGAAGAAAGAGCAATTATGCCTAAAACACTTCACTGGAATAAAATTAAATTCTCACAAAAGGAAGACCTCTAATTGCTAACTGAAATACTACTAGTAATTACCAGATCCCTGCCGGCTATCAAGAAACCAGATGTCTGAAGTCTGAATTTTGGCTACTGTTGCCTAAACAAATTCCAACATGTATTTTCTACTTTGATAACAACTCTACATCTGAGGCAAGTGTTAACAAAACTTTCTAGTAGAGTCTTGGAATTCCTAAATGCTCTGAGATTTAATACATTTGTCCCATTACCTCCGTAAATGAAAGAAGATCAAATACACAGCATATTAAGAAAGAAGCATGTTTAGTTAAGATTTTTCTGCTCCACCAGCAATTCAATGTAACAACTGTGAGCAGTAATTCTCAATTATCAGATTATGTAACTCCTACATTAATTGTTGTTGTTAAATCATGGAAGAGATAGGAAGAAAAGATATTTCGGAGCAGGATGGCATAAAAGATCAGCAACGCTTGTGTCAGGCTATCCTAAAACTATCCTGAAAAGGGAGGGTTTCTGCCATCTCTTCTTCACATAACATATTCTTAGGAATCAAAGACTGCACTTTCCAAAACTAGCTTATATTATTTTCATTGCAGATTCTCTCCATTTTTGTCTTTCACTGAAAACAGACAGTACAGATGCAGAATGAGTTAAAATTCACCTGAGAGCTCTGTTACTGTTAAGTTAAACATGTGCTAATTGCAGGAGAATAAGTTTTGAAGACTTTGCTGCACTTCTTAAATCCATTTCAACAGCATCTCACTAAAGCAGTAGCTTGTTTGAATTTTAAACAAGGTGATCAGCTTTATGGGAAACTTTAAAAACTTCAAAATGCAAGATTAAAACAGCAACAGATCCAAATTTAAAATCCTGTGTATATGGAGAGCTAGAAATACTGCAGTGATTTTCCTATTAAACGGAATGTCTTTCTTCCTTATTCCATGTAAATGACAAAATAAGCAACACTGAAACAGTGCAGAGGGAGAAATTAAGGCAATTTCAATCAAAATAATATGAATTTTGTAAGAGAGCATAAAAAGATAACCTTTCTCTGGTCTTTCCCAGATGAGTAATTTTATTCACAAAGATGTTAGTTAAAAACATTAACTGATAGAATAGGCTGCTAATGTTCTTCTAAAAATACCTGAAAAAAATAAGCTTGCTCAAGCTCTAACACTGCTCTTCTTACAAACACATGCAGCTGCTGAAATAATTCTAATTATACCAAATTACTGTAATAAAGAATATCACCTCTGGATTAGTAATTGGAAGAGAAATGAAATAATTTGGCTGGTACTGTTTTTTCTTTTTCTTCTTTCTCTCACTGCCTTCTGGAACTTCCTTTCCAATAGTCCTCTTTCTTTTCTTTTCCATGTTTTTTTCAGAGGCTGTATGCACTGAAAAAAAAAAAAAAAAAAAAAGGAAATACTTTCAGCATATAGACGAATCAGAACAAAGATACAGTTAATATCATACCCAGTAATCCTTAATATCACTTCAGTCAGCTGACAGGACCACATCTTCCCAGGCATCTGATCTGCCCATGCACTGAACTGTCTGACTGGGATCCTACTCTAGCCTCCATGAACACAGCCATGCAAGTGGAGTACCATGCTTGAACTAACAGTACATCCAGGCAGGGTTTATAAGCTGTTAACATACATACATGGCTTCCAAACTACAGCTGTGTTTCATTTAGCCAGGTTGCTGAAGTGCACTAGGCCAGCAACTTGAGCACGGACGTGAGTTCAGAGCAATTCCCCACATACTGCATTTTACAATATAAAACAAGATACGCAGGATTATTGAAGGAGAAGGCTGTGGTAGACTAGGAGTGGCCAACCCACAGTTCATGGACCAAACCCAGAGAGAAGAAAATTTAAGTCTAGTCTATCATCTTTTCCCTTCTCAAAGCCCCCTTCCGACATTTAAGAAAAAAAAAGTGCATATCCTCTTTTCTTGTGTGTATCACAAATTACTCTTCTCCCAGCTTATTTTGTTTGCAGCCCCTCTCCACTGTTCAATAACAAGTGCACTTCTAGCCACATGCTGGGAATACACATCTGGGAAACAGCTCATAAAAGCAATCACTTCAGCAGCTCATATATAGTAATGTGAATAAACATATATGAGACATCATTATGCTGTGGCTCATTGCTTCAATGAATCACAAAACAAATTTTTAACATGCTCAAATATCTGCAGGACTGAGGACTAATAAACCTCTGGACTTGGTTCCGTTTGCAGGGAGACTGTACTCCACGTGCCCAGCCTACCTGTGCATTCCAACAGACAGGATCAGGAACTGTGTGCAGAATATGTCTATCCTTTTACACTATTTCCATTTAAATACACTTACTAGCAAGTTCATCTTCAATATCTGTGTCGGCAAATGGCATTTCTGCCATCAAAGAATCTACTGAATCAGCAGGAGGACATGGCTTTTTTCCCTCTTGTGTCCTTTTTTTATTTCCTTTAACAATTTTCTTCTTTTGTTGCATATTATCCAGCCCATCTGTAATATATTTAAATAACACACTGGGGATGAGTTTTCAGTATAAATACCTACGTGACATTATAGATAAGCAATATACAAAGCATAAATTTATCTATTTCTCAACAAATAAATAATGATATAAATCTTTTTTAAGAATGCTACTCTTCTTCCTTGACAACAGATCAGTAAAAATACTTCAATGCTTTATGTGAAATAGCATAAAAAAGAGAGTCCAGCCTTCTACATTTAATAACTTATGGTTTTGATCCGTTCTAAGTAAATGCATTAGAAGCAAAAAGGACAGTTATGAGCAAGTATAAAACAATACAAGTCTTCATATATCATGTACAGCTCACTCTGGAGAACAATAACAGCATGTGAAATTCAGTGCAGATAAACACTAGAAAATTATTTGCAGTGCAAACAAACACGCTGAAAATGTGGCATGAAGGAGCAGAAAGGGAACCCTACAAATTCACATAAAACAAAGAGATCTCAGCTGACTACATCATGCAAGAGTGAGATAATTATTCTAGTCCTGTATCTCCCACACAGTGTAATATATGTATTAAACCACACCTTAAGAAATGAAAAATCAGTATCTCCTCTAGCAACAGAGAATGTAGACACAACTAGACATCCAGTAATATTCTCTTGGGACAGCTCCACAATGGGATTACTGTAGTGGAAGAAGCCTTCTGTTAGAATTGCAGTTTATCCCAGGACAGCTCATTATGACAGACAACACACTTTGAAAGCTTCTCTTGTGACCATGCAGATAGTCCAAATTTGGCCCAAGGGGAAAAACTGGCAGCAAAAGTGCATATCATGCTACTGTGGCATGCAAAGCTATGCTACATGTGTAAAATCAACAGTATAGAGCCAGTCTGGGCCATTGGGATGATAAGCAAAAGAAGAATCTGGTTACATGCTAACTCCAGCCTAAGGTAGGGAGGTGTAAATCACTATGTGGTTGTGGTCTGACACCTACGTTTATGCCAGAGGCTAAGAAAAAGAAGCAAACTGTTTGGAGTGGCTGCTTGTTCCCTCCATAGACAATAAAGAACTGGGTATGACAACGAGATGTTAAAGCAACAATACATTTATTACCAAACATTTAGAGTTAAACTTACATGCTAGTGATCCACCAGCATACAGAACATAACATTTTCACCTTTTAGAAAGGTCACAAAAGGAAGAAACAAAAACCCATGAAACTGACAAACAAGGACAGCAGGGGTAGGAAAGCTGTCAACAAGATTCAGAAATGCAAAACTATTAAGAGCAAAAGGAATTTGGTACGGTAGCATCAGCTGTGGAACAAGGATTCACCTAAATCTGAGATGTGTGTATTGCAGATTATACCCTCCTTCTGCCCTGTAGACACAAAGCACAGCATGTGCTGAATAGCAGCAGGTGGGCAGGGGCACAGCCCATTAGCGACATCCCTTCCCAAACAACACAGGCACTGCTTCTCAACTCTACATACGGAGATTCTGATCAAAAACTCTATCCCACTTTTTCCTGAATTAAACATTAAGGAAATCACCAACTAAATCCAAGATTTGTATCCTAGACACTAAAGCAACATGAAAACAGGACTTTCCAAGTTCTTGGCAAAATGTTGATAATCTGAGACCTGTGTAACTGGAAGAGCTTCCACAGCAACTCCTTGGCCACTAGACTACTCAAGGATAAACTTTATTCTTAACTGCATTAATTTCATATACCAAAAGGGATCTATGCTATTCCTATATATGTCTTTGCGCGGTTACTGAGCTACCAGTCATTAAGCAGTCACTGCTGTTCATGAAGATGAGCCACCTGTTCCAGCAGAAAAAAGAAGAAAACAAAACAAAACAAGCTACGTGTCATAGAGAACACAAAAATAAGGAAAAACACTCTCATTGTACTCCTTTCTCAGGCCTCCTCTCTTCACACTTAGTTGCAAGAGAAACAGTTTTTGATTATTTTACACCTGCACATAAAAAAACACCAAAGACTAGGTCTGTGGCTGCTGTTCCCATGAACAGTAACAAATAATGATTGGGGTTGGAACTCGATAAGCTTTAAAACCCCATCCAACCTGGGCTGAACCTATTGCTGCTGTGAAAATGGCTCTCTAGGCTTTCTGAGCTCGTACTACTGGCACAAGCTTCACAGGCCCAGAGAACCAGAGAATTGCAGAATCAGAAAGGTTGGAAATGACCACTAAGATCACCTAGTCTAACCCATAACCACCATGCCCACTAACCAGGTCTGAAAGTACTGTATTTATACATTTCTCGAACACCACCAGGAACAGTAACTGCACCACCTCGCTAGGCAGCCTGTTTCAGCACCTGACCACTCTAAAGAAATATTTCCTAATCTTCAGCCTGAACCTCCCATGCTGCAACTTGAGGCCATTCTCTCTACTTCAATTTCTAGTTTCACAGGAGAAGAGGCCAACCCTCACCTCACTACAACCTTCCTTCAAATAGTTGTAGAGAGCAACAAGGTCTATACAGGATGATCCAAGGGCTGGAGCACCTATTCAATGAAGATAAGCTGAAGGAACTGAGCTTGTTCAGCCTGGAAAAGAGAAGGCTGCGGGAGAAACCTGATCGTGGCCTTCCAATATTTAAAGGGAGTTTACAAACATGAGGGAAATAAACTTTTTAAAAGAGTAGATAGTGATAGGACAATGGGGAATGGTCTTAAGCCAAAGGAGGGGAGATTTAGATTAGACATTGGGGGAAGTTTCTCATAGAGAGAAAGGTGAGGCACTGGAACGCATTGCCTAGAGAGGTTCTGGATGCCTCATCCCTGGAGGTGTTTAAGACCAGGCTGGATAGGGCCTTTGGCAACTTGATCTAGTACTTCATCTAGAGGTTGGCAATTCTGCATATAACAGGAGGGCTGGAACTTGATGCTTGAGGTCCCTTCCAATCCAAGCCATTATATGATTCTAAGGTCTTCCCTGAGCCTCCTTTTCACCAGACTAATCAATTCTAGTTCTCTCAGCCACTCCCCATAACTCTTGTGTTCCAGACCCCTCACCTTGACCCTCTCTGGACATGCTCCCAGGACCTTGATGACTTTGTTATAGTGAGGGGCCCAAAACTGAACACTACTCAAGGTACAGCCTCACCAGTGCTGAGTACAGGAGATGATCACCTCCCTGTTCCTGCTGGCTGCGCTATTTCTGGTACAAGCCAGGATGCCATTGGCCTTCTTGGCCACCTGGGCACACTGCTGGCTCATATTCAGCATCGACCAACACCCATTTCTTCCACACAGTCTTTCTCTGCCCCAAGACTATAGTGTTGCATGGGGTTGCTCCACCCAAAGTGTAGGGAACAGCACTTGGTCTTCCTGAACTTCATCCCAGTGGTCTCAGCCCAGTGATTCAGCCTGTCCACACCCCTCTGTATGGCCTTCCTACCCCCAGATAGGTTGACACTTCCTTCCAACTTGGTGGCATCTGCAAACTTACTGAGGGTGCATTCAATTCTCTCGTTCAGATCGTCAATAAATATATTATTAAACAGGGTCAGCCCCGAACTGACCCAGCTAAAGAAATCTCCTTTAAATAATAAGCCAGAAAGGGATCGGTGTAGCACTCCGCACAGCCACACAGCGCAAACCCGATTAGGCTGACGCGGAGCGCTCACGGAACCGCTCATCACCGCCCCATGACAGCAGCTGCCGCGCGCCCTCCCGCCCCCGCGGCGCGCTTGCTCGGCCCCGCCCGCAGCCCGGCCCCCCCAGGCCCCGGTCCCCTCACCGTGCTTTGGGGTCGAGCCGGCTGCGATGGCGGGCTCTTCGCCGGTCCCCGCTTCTTCTGCTGCTGCCGCCGGCCGCAGCGCCATGGGACCCACGCGCGGGGCGAGGAGGGGGCGCGGGGCGAGGAGAGCCGCAGGCCACGCCGAGCAGAGCGAGGGGAGCAGCCTGCGCAGCGCACGCTGCATCTCCGAGTGGGACGAGCGAGGATGCCCGCCGGGACACCGCGGCCTGGACGCAGGCGCCGCGTCCTTCAGCCCGACGAGAGAGGGGGCACGGGGCCCCAGGCGCGGGACTACAGCTCCCAAGGCGCACCGCGCGGCCGTCCCAGGGCATGGCGGGAGGCGGGCGGCGCTGGTGGTGCTCTAAACCACCGTCCGTGTCGTGGGCCTGCATAGTGCGGAGCGATGGTTTTCCGTCTTTTAGCTATAGTCTTGCTGTAAGCAGCTGTTCGTTTTTTATGAGGCAGCAGAGCACTCTTACTGGGGCAACAACGCCCCAGCTGCGGCGGCACAGCCTCCCGTTGTGAATCTGCCTCTGGGACATCGTTGGGAGGCTGCTCCTCTGAGGCGAGGAGTGAAATGCTCTGTTTTCCTGCTTGAATAAAGACTTTGCGCCCCTTTGAAACAAAACTCTGGCGTTGTGTTTTGTGGATGATGCCAAACCAAATCCTGCTTTATGTTTTTGCAGATAGGTCTGTGCGTACGGTCAGGATCTGCAGGGGCTGACTATATATATGTAAATGCAGGTTCTTACTTTCACTTTTGGAGGCAGTGTGAGTGGAAGAGAGGGAAAACAAAGATGGCCATAGCAAGAAGTAGCACAGAGAGATGTGGGTAGGAGATTGGAAGCTGAGAGGCTAGTGAAAGTTGTGTGGATTTCTGTACTCGACCTGTCTGTACCTTTTCTTCGTGGCAGATAAAATCTGCTTAAAAATGCTTCACAACTATTTTGACCCATTTCATGCTGTGTTTGCCCTTAATGTCTTTCACACAGTATTTTCATGAGGTCTGCATAGTCTTACGGAAACTACAGACTAGATGTCATAGAATCACAAGGTTGGAAAGGACCTGCAAGATCATCTAGTCCAACCATCCTCCCACTACCATTGCTACCACAAGCACTAAACCATATCTTGTAGCTCCTCATCTTGAACATGCCAGGGACAGTGACTCCACCACCTCCCTGGACAGGCCATTCCAGTGCCTGGCCACTCTGAGAGAAATAGTTTTTCCTCATGTCTAACCTAAACCTCCTCTGGCAAAACTTGCGGCCATTTCATGTGACACAGAAATCCAAGTCCTGAGGAATCTGGGGGAAGTCTGAGCATAAGGCTGCAGGCAGTGCTTTTTGCTATGTATTTCATCTGAATATCAGCTGTCATAAGGAGTCTCAATACATACATGGTCACCTCTTTCTGGCCTGTTTAGCATTGATGAGTGAAATACTTAAAAAATTATTTCTGTTCAATAGCCACCAGCCTAGTACTAATATGGAGATGTATTCTTCGGGTTCATGGTGTGCCCGAGTGTGCAGGTTGCAGGGAAGTGAAAAAAATGCATTTGTTAGGGGTTGTGAGATTAGCTGATATCATAAATCATCCCCTACAAGTGTTTTGAAGGAAGATGTTCAAGAAAGGACTAGAAAGCTGATTTTTCTGTCTGCCTAAATACCATAAAAGTTACATAGTTGTCACTGACCTGGTGCCTATCTGACACAAGCCAATGCGTATGTTGTTGCAAATGCTTAGGTTTGGGCTAATGCCAAAGTTTTATCAGTTTTCTGTGGCCTTGTCTTTACTAAGGAGAGTTTCTGATTAACTTCACAGTGGCACAGTTGTCCCTTTGAGGAGAGAAAATCAGAACTCATATGACAGCTGAGTGATGTTAGCGGAAAGACGAAGCACAAGCAGCTCTACAAATGGATTTGTGTATACAGCCACACTGCCTTTACCTATCAGTCTCTCACCTGTCTGTCTCTTAACCCATCATTTAATTTAAATCAAATTTAGTAGAGAGTAAGAAGATTCAGAGGTGTGATATTCCCACACCTTTCCTGAAAATGAGTGTTTTGGGAAATAAGAGATTCATTTAGATCCCAAATGAAGAGAAAGTGCTCTGCATATGTTTTTCCCTGAAACAGTGACAGCTGGCCGTGAGTCTTGGTCGTGCGTTAGACGATAGGTCACAGCACATTTTATCTGCACATATAATCTCTTATCTTAGTCAAACAAGAGAGATGTGGGAGCCGTGAGTATTCAGGACGTGATTCACTTGTGGAGGATAGGAAATAAAGGGGTAGGAACAAAATACAGTTCAGGGAGGCCTAAATATTGAAAGAGGATATTGAGATATTGTATAGGATGTGGGAGGGAGTTGAGAATATTGTCATGGCAGGGCATCAAGACTATAGGGGAAGCTTTGGCTGTTGTGATAAGATGGGAGGACGTAGCTGATATGAAACAAGGCTTTGTTACAGCCACTGCTGATAGAGCAACTTGTTTTCTCACAAGTGAAGAACAGACTGTGATCTCATAGTAATAAGAGACTTTCTATAGGAACAAAGAAAAGCACAAGTTGCAGAACTACAGATACTGGAAAATGAGAGATAGACAAAAGTGCCTGGATTAAAGTAACTTAATGCAAAGATCAAAAAGCAAAATGCTGAGGTTGCGTCAGTAACTGAATAAAAGGAAGAAAACCACAGTGATTTTGTGTATTTATGCACTTAAGGAATAGAAACTATGTTTTATATCTAACATGAAGATTAATATCAAAGTTACATATATGGATATTTGCATGATCTGTTGACATGGTAGTTTAAGTACATTATAAGAGAAGGGAACAGAACAGGGGAATCAGATGAAAAATCAGCTGATTATCCAGATCTGCAGTTCCTTACTTGGTACCATCTAGGTGGTGACCTGTTAAGAGAATCACCTGGTAAAGGTCAATCTACACACTGAAATGCTATTAATGTTGATGTATTGTTCTGAGCACTTCCAGGTATCTCTAGGCTTTTGTGATGGCAAGACGCTGAGCATCACTGTGAGCACACAGAGGATTCACCTATCAAAGTGGAACATGAATGCCTTTGCCAGCAGGTTTACTGGCCTCCTAAGGAGGGCTTTAGACTGGGTTACTGAAAGATAGAGATATAAACTGGGAGCGAATTTTCCCAGATGTACTGGCAGAGAGTGGTGAGAGATGGTGGGATGGCACACGCAGGATGGTGTGCTGGCAAAGGCTGTCCCTCTCTGCCTGAGAAAGCAGCGTGTGTGAAGCTCTAGCACTCAGAGCTGGGAGAGACCAGCTGGAGGTCTGGCACACATCTGGGAGGACCTCAGCTGGCTGGAGAAGTGGGACAACAGGTGCTTCTTGAAGTTAAACAAGGACAAATGTAAGATCTTGCATCTAGGTCAGATGTTTCTGGCAAAAGCATCTGGATGCATTTCTGCATTAGTTTAGGTCCCTGACATTTTTTACACGCTTGGATGAGCTCTGCACTGAATATTATTATTAGGGTGTAAACTCTAGCCTGAGCTCCTTCAACCAGATTGCCTTGCTGTAGCGTATTTCTGAAAGTAGCTATGCTTTACAGATTTAGTCTTACACAAAATTTCTTTACAACTTCAATCAGACCCTTTTTCTGTATAAAGATTACAGTGTTGTACTTGCCTACACATCTTCCCAGCACAGCTCCAAACAGCCAAAAGAGAGGAAATCCTTCTGAGGCCTTTAGGGCTTTGCAATAACAAAAGCAGCAGGAAGAACATCTCCAAGTAGCAAAAATAAATTTGTATTAGATATGTCTATTTAGGAGCTGACTAAAATATTTGTTTAATTTTGCTTTGCTGGATCAGACTGAAATGACAGGGTCATTTGCAGGAAGACATATACCCCTTAATGCAAGTGGAAGAAGATACATACCTCTGAGAGAACTAAGACTGCTGGATTACAGAATCACAGAACCACAGAATCACAGAACGGCCAGGGTTGGAAGGGACCTCAAGGATCATGAATCTCCAACCCCCCTGCCACAGGCAGGGCCACCAACCTCCCCATTTCATACTAGACCAGGCTGCCCAGGGCCCCATCCAATCTGGCCTTGAACACCTCCAGAGACGGGGCATCCACAACCTCACTGGGCAGCCTCACCACCCTCCAGCACCTCACCACTCTCTCTGTAAAGAACTTCCCCCGACATCCAACCTAAATCTTCCCTCCCTCAACTTAAAACCATTTCCCATTAGTTGTAGTGCAGAGAAACTGGCTTAGGACATAATTAACCTCACAAGCACATAGATATCTTACAGATCTCTTTCAGGATTCTATTACATCATTTTCAGTTTGCTTATGAATTGCATTCCTTCATGGATGGGGAATTGGGTGGGGATGCAGAGAAGACTAATAGCCCCTGTTAAAAGGCTACCAGTTGCTAAGCAATTCTAGTTATCCTTGTTCCTTCTACAGCTCTTGTTCCCTGAAAAAAAATGCAGTTGTATTTTTGTATATTGTTCCCTGGAAAAAAAAAAAAAAAAGAAGTCAGTTGTTTATCCATTTGCCCTGCTCATTGTATCTCACTGGCTAGTTTTAATGTTTCCTCTTAAATACTTGAAGCAGAGAGTACATGCTTTCCTAATCTAATTCTTCTTTCACTCCTCAGCACAAAATAAAATCCACAAGGAGTCATCTGAATAAACTCTCATTCTGCAGCAGACCTGTCATGCTATTGCTGACAAAACCAGTTTTCCCTGCATTGCTCCAGCGTCAGGTTGGAAGAAGCTGTTCTTTTCTTTACCTGTTTCAGAAGTACAAATTCTGTCACACAATTAAATATATAGAAGTTTAGTTTCAAAAATACAAGGTAACCATAATATAAACAATGTTATGGAATGCGTCTACTGATTTATATTTTACTATCATTAAATATTTATGCACCCACAGATGTAACTATAAAACATAAAATCAATGATTTTGATAGCTACGATCTTGTTTCTCTTATTCTTCACATGTACCATTCAGATTTATGCAAAAGGTTTTGTGCAATGGAGACCACTAATGACAGTCTGCAAAGTGAAGACAACAT